TACTGCCAATGCACATTAATTTCAGGGTCCTCCATGTTAAGCATTAAAACAACATCGGATAGCAAGTCTAACAGGAAGCTGTCATGTTTGGATAATGGGTGATTAAAAAGCATAATCCTTGGTACTCTATTTGTGGCTTACAATCTTTACCTGGTGAAAGGACACAGGAGATACTTCAAAGAAAACCAGTTTGTTCCACGAAGGGATAAGAGACTTGACAATCTGCTTCGGCTGAAAGTGTTCTGCACCAGGAGAGAACACATCCATAAATGTGGTTCATTACCATTAACCACCTCCAGGCTGCCTCATTTTACTCTTGACAATTTCCAAACTTCTGAGGGCATCTCGATGTGCCCTTCAGACCCTGAAATACTGCCCTTTCCATCTGTTTCACTCATACTTGCAAGTCTGACTACGTGGCATCTGTTCTTACTACACCATCCATCTATTATTGAGAAGGGCTGGAATAAGTTCTCAAAGTTTCCTGGAGTCAACTTCTGGTGCTAGACATTCAAAAAAACCTTGACTTTCTGTCAAATGGACTGGTCCTGGCAGATTCATAGCCACAGGCAGCTTTATATGTACTCTACCCTTCCACAATCAGTATTCAGAAGCTCAGTCTGACTGTTTCTCATCTTAAATGGATTCTAATTGATCTCTGGAGTCATTTTCAAGTCTAACTTAAAGAGGTGGTTGTCAGGGCTGGCATTTATTCCCCTTGAGGTAGCCACTATAATAAATAGCTTCCACTTCCTTTGAGGAGTACAGACATTGTAGATAAGAACATGATACTGAATCAATTCAGCTTTAACTCAGAAGTGGCCACTGGTGGTGAAGTGCATGCACTTATACTTATCTTACCATCAATGCTGTACAGGTCCAGGGTACCACCCAGGCTCCTGTCCCAGGGAGGAACCAGGTATAGGATGAAGGCGATCCGGCGCCCTTCCAGCTCATCATCATGGCACAGCAGGGCATCTGCAATAGTTTAATGCACACCTTAGATCCCTGCAGACAGTGACCAGCTGACACCTGACTCTGCATTTAATATCAGTCCATCTGACATTCAACTGTAATGTCCGCTCCAGCTTTAAAGGTCTTCCAGCTTTAAAATGACACTTAATTCTCCTCTTTTATAAGTAAACAAATAAGTCAATACAGAAAATTCTAAAAACTCTAAAGAGCACATAATTAGATCCAGATATAACCATGAACAATATTTTTACATATAATCTTCCAGTATTTTTCCTGCATATATGTATTTACTTTTTTAAAAGAGTAGCATCCAGCAGTGGCTATTTGTGGCCTGCTTTTTAAATTACATGGCAAGTATCTTTCCCTGTCAATATACACACTTGGCATCACTTTTAATGGCTGTAGTTATTCCACTATATGGATTATGAACTTACCTCCTTCCCCCCTTTAATAGATTTCCTATTTGTTAATTAAGTTGTTTCTGTTTCTTAGCTATTATAAAGACTAATTTAATGAACATTATTGTACATGGATCTTTTGCACTTGTTCCTATTAATTTCATGAGAGAAACTTCTAAAAGCCATGTCGTGGGGCTAGCAAGATAGGCATCTGTGCAGGCTGAGAGGGAGGGAAGGCTATGGTGAACTGCAACCAATTACACGTGGAGGAATTGTTGCAATAAATGAATAAATACATTGAAGATAATGGGAGCCAGGTTTTTCACTGTTCAAGAAGGGAGTTACAAATATGGAAATGCAGAAATCTAGAATGAACCCTTTGGTGTTCAATTGGAACTTGAGGAATCAATGTGAATTCAGTTTCCTATATCTATAGTTTTATATATCTGTATATAGAAATATAGGCCGGGCATGCCGGTGGCTCACGCCTGTGATCCCAGCACTTTGGGAGGCCAAGGCAGGTGGATCATCTGAGGTCAGGGGTTGGAGACCAGCCTGGCCAACATGGCAAAACCCCATCTCTACTAAAAATACAAAAATTAGCAGGGCATGGTAGTACATGCCTGCAATCCCAGCTACTCAGGAGGCTGAGGTAGGAGAATCGCTTGAACCCGGGAGGCAGACATTGCAGTGAGCCAAGATCACACCACTGTATTCCAGCCTGGGCAACAGAGCGAGACCCAGTCTAAAAAAAAAAAGAAATACACTCCAAATGTAAATGTACGTGTGTGCATCCATGTGTGTATGTACATGCGTACAGATATTCACCACCTCTTCACACTGAAAGGGTCTGGGAGCAGTGACACCCTAATAGCAAAGACACTTAAGAGTCCAGATCTTGATTGTTAAGTATCATTCTTCACTAAAAAGAACTAGGATTCTCTGGAAGAATGGCCAACTCCAGGTCATTCTAGGACCTTGCCATGGAAAATCTTGTTTTGCAGAAAGTAAGAAAAAAAAAAAAAAGAATGATGGGGACATAGCAAAAGGACACAGAAGTCAGTTTGAAGGGGTTCTCCTTGATAAATCAGGGACAGTATGAGCATCAATATAATGACAGTAACTGATAACATGCTCATTACACAAATAGCAATCCATAAATCCATACCAATATAAACAAATGAATGAATAAATATATCAGGAGAAATGTCTTCTCTAGAGTGGAATGACAATAAATGTAGAGAAATTATTGTTATAAAATCACCATCTGGCAACCTTCATGGTAATAATTTAGCAAGAAACATCAGAGAATGCTAAAATAAGCAAATCAAAATTTGATGAGAAATGGGATATTTACATAATCTTAAAGTATCTCCCCACAAAATACATACCGACAGAGAAAAAGAACAGTGGAAAAACCTGATGTCAGCCACCACGTTAATCAAGTGATCACAGTTAATATCACTAATAATGTGACACACTGAAACCATGCACCACCTGATACAGTGAGAAGAACACAGTATCAATTCTGTAATCCTGCCAAAAACATATGGCCTGAATCTAATCATGAGAAAACACCAGACAATCCCAAACCGAGGAAAGTTTTCCAAAATAACTCATCTGTAAGTCTTCTAAAGCATAAAGATCATGAAAGTCCAGGAAAGATGGAAGGGCTATTCTAGACTAAGGGACGCTGAAGAGACAATATTATAACTGAATGCAACATGCAATCCTGGACTGGGTCTTTTTGCTATAAAGGACCAAATAATGAAGCCTGCATGGAGCCTGGGGATTAGATAATCCATTGATGTCGAATAAGGCATCAACATTAATTTCCTGATTCTGATGGTTTATGATTATCATGTAGGAGAATGTCCTTGTAGAAATTACTGAAGTATTCAGGGGTCATAGAACATCATGCCAACAACTTACTCTCAAGTAAAACAGGAAAAAATAAATTATTTGTACTATGCTTGCCACTTTTCTGCAACTCTGAAATTACTTCAAAGTAAAAAAAAAAAAAAAAAGATACTGGCTGGGTATGGTGGCTCACACATGTAATCCCAGTACTTTGGGAGGGCAAGGCAGGTGGATCACTTGAGGTCAGGAGTTCAAGACCAGCCTAGTCAACTGGTAGAACTCCATCTCTACTAAAAATACAAAAATTAGCCAGGCATTGTGGCATATGCCTGTAATCCCAGCTACGTAGGAGGCTGAGGCAGGAGAATCACTTGAACCCGGGAGATGGAGGATGCAGTGGGCTGAGATCGTGCCACTGCACTTCAGCCTGGGTGACAGAGGGAGACTCCGTCTCAAAACAAACCAACAAACGAAAAAAACAAAAAACAAAAAACAAACAAAAAAAAGAAAACATGGCAGTAAATGAAGATATCCTATGATCCTATGTATCACCAAGTCATCCTCTAAAAGTTGTGAGCCATCTATACTTCCAGGACAGTGTATGAGAGCACACTCAAATGATTATTTTATTTAGTAAAATTTAAAAAAGAAAAAAACCTTTTCCTTCTGGGTGAAAAACCAAGCTTGTATCCAAAAAAAAAAAAAAAACATTTATATGCTCAGAAAGGGAAATGGAAGGATGCACCTCAAACTGGTGACAATGGGTACCTCTGAAGAGAAGAGGGAGCAGGGAGAAGGTGAAGAAGGCTATCATGGTTTTACACTATATACCTACAATATTGATTTTTTTTTTCCCTTTAAGAATGCTTTCACTTATTGCCTTCAAAATAAAAAAGAGAAGGGAAAATAGCATTGAAGGAGATGGTTGTTCCTTAGGAAGTCTAAGAATAGAGTTTATATATCACTCTGAATTTCTTGATATTTAATGTACAGTTGGTGTGTATGTATGTCATGGGGATTTTGCTGAAAATATGGTCAGTAGCTTTCATCATATTCTGAAAGACAACCACTGCTTATGCCTTCCAATAAGGTAGGTATTTCTGTCTATGAACTGGGTCTTTATCAGGAAGATCCGGATGCTTTGCAGGGACATTCAGTTGAATGTTTTGGTGCACAGATACCATCTCTCCATTCATGTTGAATTAAAGCCTTTAAATCTTATAGACACCAGGTCTTTATCTTCCTTACCGGTGAATTCATATTTAGCACAGGACATGTCAATGGTTGATTCCAGGTCAATTTTAGAAATATCAGAAAGCCAGGACCGGAAATCTTCAAACAGAATTTTCCTAGAAATGTAAACAAAAGATAATTTGTTATGCCACAGTGTGGGATCTAGGCCACAACGATTTGGATCTAGGCCACAACTTTTCTTTCCTGGAGATCACATTGTATTCAAGAGATCCATTCTCAGATCTCATCTGAGACATTCTGAGAAATGTTTCTCAGTTCAAATTTGCATAGTTTAAGTCTAATGTTCCCAGAAAAAGAAATGTAAATCTCTATCTACATTGTTTTTGTTAGTTTTTGTTCTAATGGTTCATGTTTTCTCAGTATTTTCTTTCTCCTAAATTTAAAGTATGCCCTATCAAGGCAGCAGTTTGGCCTTTGTCATAACAACCCATCACACCAATGTTCTAGTCCAAGTTACTGGTTTTCAGACAAGTTTTTCAGCACTAAAATGGAAAGCTCAACTGTTTATATTTTCTTTTCTTTCTTCTTCTTTTTTTTTTTTTGAGATAGAGTCCTGCTCTGTTGCCCAGGTTGGGGTACAGTGGTATGATCTCGGCTCATTGCAACCTCTGCCTCCTGGGTTCAAGCGATTTTCCTGCCTCAGTCTCCCGAGTAGCTGGGACTACAGGCGTGCACCACCACGCCTGGCTAATTTTTATATTTTTAGTAGAGATGGGGTTTTGCCCATGTTGGCCAGGCTGGTCTCCAACTCCTGACCTCAAGTGATCCGCACGGCTCTGCCTCCGAAAGTGCTGGGATTACAGGCGTGAACCACTGCACCTGGCCTCAACTGTTTTTCTTTACACACTTTACTTCACTTCCAATGCCAAATGTGTGGGCTTATCCCCCTACACTGTCCAATTCTCTGACACCAGCTGAGTGTCTTAAAATTCAATTCAATTCTGACACTTTCTACCAGGGGTTAATAAAGGTTAAGGGCTTAGTCCCATGAGACTGCCCCCAGTGTGCCCCCTCCCCCAACCCCACTTCAGATACTGATTACAAGTTCAAGTTGTGACCCATATGCTTCTAACCAAATAGTTATAAACTGGAGGTTCACATTACTGCCTGCTTAGGTTTGATAATTTGCTAGAATAGCTCACAGAACTCAGAATAAGTTTGTTTACTAGATTACCAGTTTATTATAAAAGGATACAACTGAGAAACAGTCAGACAGAAGGGACGTATAGGGTGAGGTATGCAGAAGGGGTGTGGAGTTTCCACACCATGTCCTCCCCAGGTACACCACCCTCCCAGCACTTCCATGGGTTCAGCAATCCTGAACTCCTTTGGTTAGGGTTTTTGATGGAGGCTTCATTACGAAGGAATCATTGATTAGGTGACTGGCTATTGGTGATTGACTCAACCTCCAACCCCTTTTCCCTTGCAGGAGGTCAGAGAGGTCTGTGCCAGGAATAGAGACCAAGACCAAATATACATTTATTATAAATCACAAGCACTAATACTGGTACCACCATTTAATGAACACTTGGGTGGCACTGTTTTAGAAGATTAAAACAACTTTAAATGGCAATAATGATGAGTGTTGAATTAAATGCATAATAATGAGTATAATTTTTCATAGAAGTTCTGATGCTAACAGGATACCAATAGAAAATGGTGAACGCTTCCATTTACCAGCTAAACTGGCTCTCCATGTAGAAATCTCTTAACACAAGTTATAACTCACTCAGCCAATCAACTTTGAAATTATGAATTATTACTAACCTTGAGGAATTAAAAACATTTTTAAAAGATTTACATTAGTTCAAATTACGCTTACAAAGATACTTAATATTTTTTTGGATCATCCTACTCCAAATGCACATAACTGAAATTCCCATAAAATAGAACTGTCCTGTTTATAACTAAATATCAAATCTCCAGGTTGATCTCTAAGATTTCATTACGAAATACCTTTTTGTATTATATACTACTCAAACCAAAAAATTCCATTATCAGCTGTGAACAAGCTTAAAGAACATTCCACAAAATAATTGTGCTCAGTCAGTCCATATAACTTTTAAAGGCAGAGTTGCAAATCATATAAAATGGGTCAGGATAGCAAACTGCTGAACCAGGCTTCAGATAATGTGAGTGAGAAGTATTTCTTCAAGTCGTGATACTTTAAGCAACTAATAGTCTTAAATCCTTTACTGGTAACATCAGCTTTCACAAATTCCAGAAAAAGCTCTTCTACTCATTCTATGAAAGTGTCACAAGGTCGGGCTTATTTTCTGTCATTGTTAGCATTTGTTAATTGTATTCATGAAGGAACTCACAGAATCCAAGTGGGAAATAAAAAGATCAGCTCTCTGTAATGATTAAGGAGTTGCAGCTTGCTCACCATCTGGCTGTAAGCCTTCGGTGTGGAATGTAACTCAGTCCCACATGAAATGCTTAGCAGAGGGGTGTTGTGAACTAAGGAGATAACGCCTTAATGCATGATAATCTTTCTTTAGGGGGAAAAAAATCTAAGTAAATATGAAACATAATGTGTTACAGTTAACACAAGCAATACTTCAGGATTTAGAATAAACTGTGCAAGCTGCCTATAATACATGGAAGTATTGCAGAGAAAAAATATATAATGAGAATAATTTGTATCATATAGATGAAAAACAGCTATTACAAAGCAACATATACTTATTATAGAAACTAGGAAAAAATCCCATGTAAGCAAAAAACTGTTAAAAAAATCTGTATTCCTACTAGCAAGAGTTAAATACTCTATTTTTCCAAATCTTTTACTTTGTACACACAGACACCCAAATGTAGGTGTGTGTATCTCTTTTTAAAATAAGATCGTGTGATGTGAATCCACTGGTCAGAAAAAACAACAAAGCATCAAATTGTGTGTATTATTTTTTTTCTCTTGACAAAAATGTGTTAAGTATCATTATTTTATATATTACTAAGAAAAAAAATGCTGTCAATTAAAGTAGGACACAAAAGTGACTGAGACACTAGATCCCAGAGGTGTTAAAATGTTAAAAGTTTCTTAGAATTGAGAAAATAGATAACTACCACATTCGTGTGTCAAAACTCGTATGTATCATATATAATGGTTGTAGAGTTTCCACTTTATGTTTTGTACTATTATGTTTAAATCTCCATGGGCCATAAAATTTGTATATAATTTTTCAATATTATAAACAATATTACAATAAATAATCTTGTATGGAATCTTTGAGCATATCCTTATTTTCTCAGGATAACTCCTTTTTTTTTTTTTTTTTTTGAGATGGAGTCTCGCTGTTGTTGCCCAGGCTGGAGTGCAATGGCT